ACCATGAATTCCCCAAGACCCATCTCCGTCGTCTCCACCTTCGCTTCACCATCCTCTCCTTGTGACTCAACCAAGAAGCCTCTGAGTTTATGGCCTGGTATGTACCACTCACCGGTCACCACAGCTTTATGGGAAGCCAGATCCAAAATCTTTGAATCACTTCTTGATCCTCCTAAAGACGCTCCACCACAGAGTCAGCTTCTCACCAGAACACCTTCTCATAGCCGTACCACCATTTTCTACCCTTTCTCCTCTGATTTCATTCTCCGGGAACAATACAGAGATCCATGGAACGAGGTCCGTATCGGGATCTTGCTCGAAGATCTCGATGCTTTAGCTGGAACTATCTCCGTTAAGGTATCTTGATTTGCCCAATTGAGTCCTAAAGTTTGATACTTTCTTATGATTCTGTGATTTATTTTTACTCTGTTGTGTATTTGGTGTTATGTACCACAATTTGAATGTGTGTGTACATTGTGATTCAGCATTGTTCTGATGATGATAGTACAACGAGGCCACTCTTGCTTGTTACAGCTTCTGTTCATAAGATTGTATTGAAGAAGCCGATTTGTGTCGACATTGATCTCAAGATTGTTGCTTCTGTCATTTGGGTTGGTCGTTCTTCTATCGAGATTCAACTCGAAGTTATGCAATCCGAATTGAGTATGTGTATAACTTACAAGCATGTATCCTGAACTATAAAACAGTTGCTTATGTTTTGTTGTTGTTGTTGTTTTCAGAAGATGTCAAGGCTTCTTCGGATTCGGTTGCTTTAACTGCTAATTCATTTTTGTGGCGCGTGACTCTAAGACTGGTAAAGCTGCTCCTATTAACCGGCTTTCTCCTGAAACCGAGGTCGAAAAGCTTTTATTTGAGGAAGCTGAAGCTAGGAATAACTTGAGGAAGAAGAAGAGAGGAGGTGACAGAAGGGAATTTGATCACGGAGAGTGTAAGAAGCTCAAGGCTTGGTTGGCTGAAGGAAGGATCTTCTCTGATATGCCAGCTCTTGCTGACAGAAACAGCATTCTTCTTAAAGATACCCGTCTTGAGAATTCGCTGATATGCCAACCGCAGCAGAGGAACATCCATGGGAGGATCTTTGGAGGATTTTTGATGCATAGAGCATTTGAGTTGGCCTTCTCCACAGCTTATACGTTTGCGGGTCTAGTGCCTTACTTCTTAGAAGTTGATCACGTCGATTTCCTAAGACCGGTCTGTATCCAAATCACTGCTTACTATCCTCTTCTTGTTTATGTCCGTCTTCTGTATATAACTAATGCTGAATGGACTTGCATGACAGGTGGATGTTGGTGATTTCTTACGTTTCAAATCATGTGTTCTTTACACTCAACTGGATAAACTAGATTGTCCGCTCATCAATATCGAAGTTGTTGCCCATGTTACAAGCCCAGAGATTCGTTCCAGTGAGGTAAAATCCTAAACTTGATGATGGAAGCTCTTTTAAATAATGGTTTCAAGTTGAACTTGCTTACTGATTCTTTAGAAGAGATACATCTTCATGCCAATTTTCTCTAACCGTATCGAATTTGAAGCTCATTATGTCAATTTGAAATCTCTTTCTCTGTTACATATGATGTAGGTTTCAAATACATTCTACTTCAAGTTCACTGTACGACCCGAGGCAAAGGCCAGAAACAATGGGTTTAAGCTTCGAAACGTAGTTCCTGCCACAGAGGAAGAAGCTCGTCATATCCTCGAGCGCATGGATGCAGAAGCTTTGAACTCGAGCAAATAATAAGTGAAGACATAATTATGTGGTAATAACTATAGTGTTTCTGTGTTATAAAAGACTTGGCTGATCAGGTCCTATCCTCTGACCACAAATTAACTAGAAATGTAGATGCGCAAGACTCAACAGAGTCAAGATCGTGCATTACTTTTGTGGTCAGAGGATAGTTAATTTGCGGTATTGTTTAGATGCATCTACATTAACAAGACTCAACCGAGTCAAGATCATGATCAGGTCCTATCCTTTGACCACAAATTAACTAGAAATGTAGATGCATCTAAAAGTAAAGCCAAATCTTTGGTTATATTAGCAATCTGTATAGATACTATCTCTAAACAAAATGCTAATATAACCGAAGATTTGGCTTTACTTTTGCAACTCGTTGATTTGTGCATGTCGTAAGGGAAACATGTTAAAGCATCAAAACTAGAATCTAAGTTATAGCATCAAAACCTAATGAATTGTCTTCCAAAAACTCATACAGAATTATCCAGATAGGTGTTAGTCATACCGGTTACAGACACTGAAACTAGAGATACGTTCCTAATCATTACATTAAAAATCTTACAATGGGATCAGTCTCCCATTTCCTTACACACTTGGTCTAGCACAGACAGGAAGTCTCTCACAATCATGAAGATCCTCATTGTGTGACCTTCCTTGGAAGAATCTCCATGGAATTGCTCTGTGACCTCTTCCAATGCAGAGAGCGTTGAACTTTCTCGTATTTTAATCTTCACAATCTCCTCTGCAGCGGCTTTCAAGAATCGAGTCATCCTCTCCCTGAACTTCAGCCATTGATCTCCACTCTCCTCGCTAACTAGCAAAAGCTCTTCGACGTTCTTAAGTCCTTGACAAAGCTTCCAGACATCGCTTCTTAGTACACCATACTCAATGTCTACCGATTTCTTGACATTGCTCAGTTCTGAATTCAGGTTTCTGATGCCTTCTAAAGCTCTCATACTGCCATCTGATTTAATCATTTCCTGAACAACGAAATGCAAGAGACTGCTTCTTCCATCTAATCCCTTGACCTCAACGAGCTTGAGGAGCATGTCGAGTTTGGAAGCATGAGCATCACCGCACCAGTTTGTTCTAACATTCATCTTGCTTCCTGTCTTCAGAATAGCTATCAGAAGTATCGAAAACATTCTACTATTCCTTAGTTCTTCACAAGCAGTCTACAAAAGCAGATAAGCTTATGAGACATAAAGATTACAACATCAGACATATATGTAAATCCGCAATCTTCAGCATTACCTGAACAACACTGAAGGATTTTCTGAGACGTTTGATCTCGGTCTGGAAATTAGCCACAAAGAGCAATGCATCAACCCGTTTAAACGCAAAAGGCACATGAAGCAATTCCTTAAGAAACCTCTCAGCTGGACCAATCTCTGAATCATCACTATAGCTCTTCAACTTCCTCTCTTCTTCTTTACTAGGTGCCAATCTTGATAAACACTCAAGAAGTTCAGCTCCAAGTGCATCACAGTCACCTAAATCAATAACTCAAAGAACATGAATCAATAGCATTACAAAACAAAAACAAATGGCAATGAATTAAGATTATTTACCATCAAGAAGAGCTTGACAAACATCCTTAGTGCTTAAGTTAAGTAGTTGAAGCAGAGTAGCAATATTCTGAGCCTTTCTTGGATCTAAAACTTTGCTTTCTTGACTTAGAATCGGAAGATCTCTTGGATTTGACGAGTTTGCAATGAACATAGTCTCTACCATCTCTTTGCTCAATCTACCACACAATCAGACAAATCAAACTTCATTAAAGTCTTATCAACAAAAAAAAAAAAAGAAGAGAAAGAAGAAAACTTTCGCTTCTCTTACTTGAAAGAGCTCGATCTAAGACGATCCCAAGGCAGCTGTTTGGGAGGTTGGTCGGAAAAAGATAGCTTTTTTACTTCATTTTGAACCATAAAAGGTTGAGACGGTGGAACAAGAGGAGGTGGTCTGGTCGGAGGAGGAAGAGCAGGAACTGTTACTACTTTGCTCTGTTGAGAAGAAGATTCACCAATGTTGATAACAAAATCTCTTCTTGATGACGCAGTATGAGAGAGCAAAACAGACTTCACATTCCGACTAAAGTCATTCCAAATCGGCGGCGAACTATCGAGAAACTTCCGGAATAACCCATCAGGAGAAGTAGAAACTGAAGAGTAGAGAGAAGAAAGTGGTGTTCTTATGAATCCTCTGTCTGGTGAAGTAGAAGCAGAGGAGATACGAGGAAACCCAAATCCCATGTTTTGATTCCAAAAGCTAAACATTCTTAAAGACGACGACCCGTTTCCGTTATAGTTCTTTCTTACTCTTAGTCTCTCCGGTGACGGAGACTGAAGGTTAGTGGCGTCTGAGTATCTAGGGTTTGGTGGAGACATGGTGATAGAGAATGACCTAGCTGGAGAAACCCAACCGGAGCAGGAGGAAGAGCAGGAATGAGATGGGCTTGAGTTCTGAGAACCAGGGAGAGAAGCCATTGGTGAAAAGAACGCATCTTCTTCTTCTTCTTCGTCTTCTTCGTTTACTTCTGTTTCATAGTTGTTGTGGTGGAAGCTACGAGGAGGTAATGGTGGTAATGGTCGTATCTCCGGCGAGTCTTGCTTCAAGAAACAAGTTCCTCCTCCGGTTCGAATATGGTCAGATTCCTCGGTATTGATGTAGAAAACTTCTGAAGGAGAAGTAGTAGCAGCCATATTGAAGTTAGTAGTAATGTGACTCTGTTCATCATCATAGCTGCTGCTTGTGTTGCTACTACGACAAGGAGAGTTCTTGAAATGACGGTTTTGCCCTTGGTGGCGGCCGTAGAGAAACAAAGCCAAGCCTATGACTGTAGCGACGGCAAGAACGGCGGAGAGAGCTGGGAGGAGAAGTGTAGGTGAAGTGTGGTGTGGTTTAGAGGAGCGAGGGAGGACTAAGGCGGAGATGTTAGCCGGAAAAGTAGGAAAGACGGCGAAAGTGGTCGGAGGAGTAGGAGGAAGAGGTGGAGGAGGAGAAGGAGGAGAGGATTCAAGAGGGAAGAAAGGAGGGCTAATGGGAGATAGAGGAAGAGGAAGAGGTGATTCGTAGTCGTAGAGGAGACGACGGCTGAGAGTTACAGCGG